AACGCTAACCACAGTTCCAGAAGACCCACATCTTTGGACCGCAAAACAGCTCGACAACATAAACGGCGACCTTTGACTGCCATATGCGAGCGCTGAAGGGGCGGAGAGGGAAGGGGTGGGGGGAGGGAGGGCGGCTGAGTGGGTGGGGCTTCTCTATTCATTTGGCCCGGCGACTGGGCGCTCTGTGTTGATTTCCGTTTGCTGCCTGTAAGAGTGCAACTTGAGCCGGCACTTGCACTCACTTGAGAGTGTGTGGGTGAACGGCTGGCTGTGTGAGTGTGATTGTGAGTGTGTATTTTTCTGTATATGTGTGAGTTTATGTGGAAAACTAAACTGTTGCCATGTGACAAGTGGCAGCTTGACGACAACAGCAACAACAGCAACAACAACAGCTGCAGCAACATCAACGTCAGCTTCAATGACGCTTGGTGCGCACTTTGCCGCAAACAAAACGGGGCAGCAACATGCAGCACCTGCTGCCGGAGCAAGTAGCAAGCAGCAAGCAGCCAGCAGCAGGAAGAAGAAAAGTGACGAGGACCATGAGAAGGACTTGACTCACTGTTGTTGTTTCAAGTTAAAAACTGCAGAAAGCGCACTCCAAAATTGCCACAAAAAGGCAGTCGAGGAACAGTAGCAACAGCAACAGCAACAGCCACCCATTTTAGCACTCAAGTAATGAGTCGCCGTCTAGTGCTGTTTAACCCATGCCGCCAACTCGGCAGACAGTTGCAGTCAAGGGGGTTAAGTGTTGGAATTTAATACACAATGCAGACAGTCACCTGTGCGAATGTTTATTGAACCCGTCAAAAGCGTGGGGTCAAAGTTGAAGCCATTGGAAGTGCACAGCACAATAGCCGAGTCGGAGAATCATTTAACACGAAAATCGGATTATGAAGCTCATACGGACAAAGTCAATATATCCTAGTATATATATTACGTGGGGGGTGAAAGAAGAGGGGCGCATATATATCCAAGAAGACTCAGCTCCGCTTTGGTGAATTGTCAATGCAACAACAATTGAAAATCATTTGAAACCTTTCAAATGTCACACAAAAGAAATTGATTTCACTTCTTCGTTTTCTCTTCATCTTTTTTGCTGCCAATGCCTTTCGGTTGCTATGAGATTGGATTTAAATTTACACCAGACTTGGTGTAAAAGGCAAAAAAAAGGCATTGACGTCATCATCATTGTGACATCTTGGTCAACTGCTCTGAATAAAATATGCATTGCGAAGCGTAGCATCTATATCGGAGATTTACAAAATTGAACATTCCTCAAGGATATTGGCCCTGAAAAGCCGGCAATCATAAGCATGCATATGAGTCCCCAGTTGTCGGTTTAACTAAGGCACAATGAAAACGATAACCTACTCAAGAATAATGAGCTCTCCGCACCCGTAAAAAACACGCTGACCCACCTTTGACCCCTTGGAAGCTTTTGGGTCCACTTCCAGCACATTAACCCTCGAACGGGCTTAACTAATTCCCTTTCGACTCGGCAATTCAATTAGCAGTAAGTCCATGGACGTACACACACACACACACCACCCTCACTCCCAACCACCCGTCCAAAAAAAGGATGTTTTAATCGAATTTATGTGGAAAAGAACGGAGGGGACAGGGGGCCAGTTAATAGTTGTGCCTTTGGCCCAACAAAAGGCTTACCTCAAGCCAACTAGCCAAGCAGCCAGCCGTGGGCGGATTTATCTATTCTATTTTGTAATTTTTAATTTCACAACTAATGCGATTATTCACGGCTGACGGACCAGGCCGGCAATAAAAATGGCCAGTGTGTAAGCCACGTTTAACACTCGGTTTATTTTTAGTTAGCGATACGCTTTCTCCTCCATTCCTCCCTTTCTTTCTCTGCAAATACGGCAAAACTATTCGCACACGAGCTCTCTCTAAGCTCAAACTTTAAGCCCTCTGGTTGTTGCCAAAAAAAAAAGGTTTTCCGATTCTTATGCGGAGATTTGACACCCTTTTTTTTCAAGCGGGAAACTGTGCTAGAAATATACAAAAAATATATATATCTTACTGCTCTTTTAACACCAGGATCATATTAGAAGATTAAAGGTAATTTCAAGGCTAATCTCACCCAGTCGCAAAATATAATTAATTAAGTAAAAGAGTAAAATTAATTTCGAATTCAAAATGTTATATTAAATATTAAAATTAAATTTTTAGGCATAATATTTAACACAATGCATACTTAATTGTATATTTTATAATTTAAATATTTTTATTAATGTGCAAAAAGATATAAATATTTAAATTGAGTAGAAAATTTGTTGATTTACGACGTTTTTTACCAGGGTAAATAAAATGCATTGGTTATCACTTTTCTGGTCTTAATTAGGAATTCTAGCTAAATTTATTCAATTAAATTACTTAGAAAGGTGCCATAAATCAAGATAATTAAACTCGAAAAGCAATTGCTCTGGATTAAATTCTAAATTAAATATTTTTCTGTGAAAAACCCCCATCAAATCTAGCTTAACCGGTATACCATGTGTAAGCTCATTTGCGTGGGTGGAGAAATTGTCACCGAATGCAGCGAGGCGTGCAAATCTCACGGAGAGCTGTGAAAAAAATGCGAAAGTCCGGCATAAACAGAACCCATCTGGGAGTCAAGGCATACTCATGGTCTCCAAGTGAGGTCCTTAAAAACTGAACTTAAAGCTCTGCGGCGTGCCCATACTCAGTTATGAGCGCTTAAAGTCGTCCATCCCACGCTTAACATTTAATTAAAAATTTTGTAATTACCGCATGGGAAGTGGGTTTGTCTTGCTCTGCTCCGCTTTCCACGTTGCTTCTACCGCCGCCAGTCAAGGATGCAGCTGTCTTCTGCTCCAAGCTCCCAGCTCCCAGCTCCCAACTCCCAGCTCCCCGCTGCATGCATCTTCAAGGATGGCTTCCCCCTGCTTTGTTTGTCTTGCCACAGCGATTCACACCCCAGTGGCTTGGGGTCCTTACTGTTATTGCAATGAACTTGGCAGCTGCCTCCGCTGCTCTCCATTTCATCCTAATTGATATATGCAAACTCCTTGGTGGTCCCAGGTCGATGCGAACCTGCAACCTGGTCATTGTCGTTAGCAAGCTCCAAGATTTCGCCCATTAATTTGTTGCATTGTCTTGGGAAGTCGCAGTCAGTCAGGCCAAGATGCAGAAAATCCCCCAGTTGAGCTATATTCCCTGCCTGCCCTGCGCATTTTACGCATTTTTCGAGAAATTCCATTGTGTTGCTGCACGTGCCAAAATGCATGTGGGTGGGTGTTTTTGGTGGCGTTGCCGTCAAAGTGCATGCAAAATACGTGACATGCATATTGAAGTCACTTACTATTTATTTTTATTACGCAAAGCTGCAAAAACTTTTTACACATATTTTTCCCTTAGTTTTTCTTTTGTTGTGGCAACTTTCCCCAAAAAGGTGGCAGAGGCAACAGCTGGATAAAGGGGCGGGAAAACTCCACCTCGCACGTTGAACAAATGGCAGGTGCTGTCAGTGAGGAGCTGGAGTTGTTGTTGGTATTATTTCTCAACCCTCAGAAAAACTTGTCTATAGGCAAGGTACAAAAATATAACATGATATACTTTCTTGTGCTCATTATAATTTAAGCATTTGAAACATGTCGAAAATCTGTATTTTCATTTCCATATTATTTTAAAACCAAACTTTAATATAAAAGTATATCGAAATCTATACAATTCTTAAACATGGCTAAAATCAATTTCTTCATTTCCATAAATTTGTGAATACAGTATAACCTAATTGAAGTTCTAACATTTTGCCAATGTTTAGCATAATTCAAACAAAGTTGTTGAAAAAATTATCTTTTTTTATTGGTTTCAAATTCCTGCCATTTATTTATGCTATTTTCATTGTGCATGCTGAGCCGTACATTATGCAACTGCCAAAAGAGGTGAACACATTTGGGAATGTGTTTTTCATAGGCCTAATTAGCGCTGGAGCCCAACAAACTGAACCTAACATAATCAAATTTTCCCCCCAAAACAAAGGCAGAGCGTGGCCGCGGAAATGCAAAATATTCATTAAATATCAAAAATTGATGGGCTGAGAAATAGCATCGCAATTATGCAGCAGGACTTGACAGGACTGGAAGCGACAGGCTGGGTCAACCGAGGACACAGTTTAGCACCTAGCGATGACCATAAAAATTTGTAATTTTCCCAACACATATTTCCTTTTTGGCCACCAGCCAAAGTATGCAGCGTGAAAAGAAAGAGAGTCGAAAAAAAAAATTCTTCAGGCCGTAAATAACCAAAGTAAACAACGCGACAAGCGGTTTTTCGGGGAAAGGAGTTTGGTTTTGGGTTTTGGTTTGGGTTCGGAAAAAAGAGCAGACAAAGTCCCGGCCGCAAAAGCCAGAACTCAGTGCGAATGTGAATATTCTTGGAATTTTCATTTGTTGTCTAGAGTTGCATGGGGTTGGTGGCATAGTTGGGAATGCCTTTGCCCCAAGACCACACCGAACCAAAGTAAACCCCCCTCCCCTGCTGTCATCGCAATTTGTCGCTTTGTGTTGCTCCTGCCGCTGCAGTTGTCGCTTCATTTTTGCTGCAAAAGTGTTGCAAAATATGTTGACAGGAAATGTTATGCGAATTTCACTGCGTATAAAATGCATAAAATGAATTTTACGTGGAGTTTTTCCCTTTGTGTTTAGTTTTACCGTAGAAACCCCAGTGTTTGGCCTTTAAAATTTGTGGAAATCGTATACAAAACACAATGAAATGAAATTTTCAAATCAATCACTTTGGGCGCTCAATCTGATGTTGTTACACTTCCGAGTCAAAATGCAATTAAATGCACGACAGATCGTATATCCGACGTCGGGGCTATATTGTACCCAGTAACCATTTGGCAGCAATTAATTAGTTAGCTAGATACCCTGATACAGATAACGTGATCTCCATAAATTACCCGCAAGCTAGTTTCTATAAAATTCAGACCTGCTTTTCACCGGCTAACAGTTTATTGCGAAGAGCTAACTGCGAAAGGGAAGCCCATGTCCATATTTATCTTGAAGCTGATTCTGCGAATTATTGCATAATGTTCAGGCTAGCGGTCATTTTATTACTGGCTATCATCGTGGTTTTCGCCCAGGTAATTAATCTTGAAAGCACCTATATAAGGTAGACATGACTGGTTGATTTTTAAACAGAGTGTATCCGTTCTGGAGGAACCCAATTTGGTGTCGGAATGTCTGGCCTCCAATAATATCAGCCAGGCCGAGTTCCAGGAACTCTGGGATCGCAAGAGCTCCGAAGAGGAAGATATCGAGAACACCGATAGAAGATTTAAGTGCTTCGTCCATTGCCTGGCTGAATGGGGACATATGCTGGACTCCAATGGCCACTTGGATATGGACTTGATTGACCAAAAAGAACCCGTGAGTGATGAACTTCGAGAGATTCTCAACGACTGCAAGAAGATACACGATGATGAGGAGGATAAGTGTGAATACGCATTTAAGATGTTGACTTGTCTGACAGAAAGCTTAGAGCAGAACGATGAAGTCACCGAAGCGGTTAGAAAGGTGGGCGTATCTACAAACATATTAAATAAATAATATTGCAAAAACTGGTTGAGCAACGCAAACGTAATTGTTTTAAGTCAGTGGGAAATTCACAAGCTGTTGTTTAGTTTGATTTCAACAATGTTCATCAACAGACTAGCATTTTGTGCGCCTCTGATATTGGTTTTGATCAGCTCAGCTAAGGTGGGAATAACTTATTGAACTGCATTGCTATTTAGGTCTCATTTTTAAATGCTATGTATTATAGGCTCGCCATCCGTTTGATATTTTTCACTGGAACCCGAACGATTTTGAGGAATGTCTGCATCTTAATAACATTACTATTGGGGAATACGAGAAATATGCGCGGTTCGAGACTCTGGAATATCTGCTCAACGAGAATGTAGATTGGAAGTACAAGTGCAATATCAAGTGCCAGCTCGAGAGAGATTCGAAGAAATGGTTAAATGATCAAGGTAGAATGGATCTGGACCTAATGAATGCCACCAGTGAAGCTGCAAAATCCATTACCCAGTGCATGGAACAGGCTTCCGAAGAACCTTGTGCATACAGCTTTAAACTTGTTATTTGTGGCTTCAAAGCTGGTCATCCCACTATTGATTCTGAGTAATAGCTATTAGTTTATAGATGTGGTAGTTCCCGATAAAAATAAAACTAATGCCTGATACAGCTATGTCTTAAATATCTAAACCAACTGCTGATATTTTTCGAACCTTTTCATTAAGTTCATGTAAGCTCAGGAAAAAGTTAATTTTAATTAATATTTTAGCGAGAAACCAAAAATAATTTTTTTTTTTAAGACTTAAACAATTTTGTAAAATATTGGGGCTTTTATGATCATGCTTATTGTACAAATTTTTTTGTAATAATAAAAATATATGAACAAAACTATAATGACTTTTCTTTATTATTCGTAAATTAAATAACTAATGTAAGAAAAATACAATACTAAAATAAAAACTTGGTTTTGACAAATGGTTTTGGGTTTGGCGCTAAGCGCCTAAACAAAACAACAGCTGAGCTGGGCATACACCTGTTGGGCTCTGACTTACCGGCCGCTCTCCACGTAAACGAGCAGCGTTTGAGAGATAATTTTTACCTTAAAATAAGCCATACGTTTGCAGAATTAGAAACCACCTTTTAAAGTTGCAACATGGGAGAGACCATGTTTACATTATCCAGCACATGATGCAACTTTACAAGGTGATCGCAACGCAAGAACTGCTCTCTTCTAAGGACATTATTTTTGTAAGTCGTTTGTCAAATGTGCAAAATTAAAGCGATTGCTATCTCTTGTTAGCGCTTGCCTATGTGAAAGCGGAAAGAGAGAAAGCTGTAGAAAACATTCACCTTGGGTGAACGATAAGACCACCTTATATAGTTGTATCAAGATCCAGCAGCTTGATGAGTTTTTTAGCCATCACCGCTGTTGAGTCTGCTCTCTCTCTCTCTGGATCTAGTGCCTCGCTTGCCGAAAGAACCCCCGTGTGGCCAAAATAGCTTTCGTCAATAACATCTCTTATGCAGCTGTCCTTATTAATCTTATAGTTCTAAGAGTAATTTTGCTGTTCTATTGGTAATCTTTTCGTTCAATTCTAGCTTCTGCCTTCTCAATTCATATGAGCATTTTCCAATTATCCTTATACATATCTTACCATTAATGCGGGTCAATACAAATAACGCAAGAGTTAGCAGTCTGCTAACAATTTTCTGTAAACAGAAGGGCAATTCAGATCACCGAGAAATGAGCTGGTGCTCAGTTTGTTTCTGATTAAAGGGAAAACCCATCTAGACAGAAAAGTCTACTTAAAATAATTGATCGGATTTTCTCAACTTATGAACACGTATATTAAATCGTGAAAAACTGGTTTATTAACTACTAGCATTGTTTAAATAAGTCCAAATTTCATTAGCAAGTAATCAGTTCAAGTTGAACAATGTTCATCAACAGATCAGCAATTTTTGCGCTTCTGATCCCGGCGCTGATCAGCCAAGCTAAGGTGAGATAATCAAGCTAAGAATCTTTCGCATTATAAAGAAATCCTTTCAGGCTGGCCATCCCTTTGACTTTTTCGAAGGAACCCTTGACGATTTTGACGATTGTCTGAAGCTGAACAATATTTCCCTTGAGGAATACCAAGATTTTCAGAGTTACGATAATTTGGAGAATGTTCTCAGTGAGGCTGTCGAATTGACCTACAAGTGCAGCATTAAATGTCTGCTGGAGAGTGAGCCAACTAAATGGCTGAATGAACTGGGTAAATATGATCCTGAATCGATAAATGCCACCAGTGAAGAAGCGGAATACATTACAAAGTGCATGGACAATGCCTCCGATGAACCTTGTGACTACGCATTTAAACTATTTCTATGTGTCTTCGAGCACGAATCTAAACACCAAATGTTAGAGGAAACCACCGATATAGCAGCAGAACAACAGGTGGCACAAGACGAAAGCGATGTCATCGATATAAACCATTAAAAAAGGGTTGCCTACGTTGCAAACTGGGCCAGAAAGATATTTTTCGGCCAAAAAAATTTCGTTTATTTCTCTGAATAGCTAAGAAGCTGACATAAAGCATAAACCAACAAAAAAAATTTTTTTTTTATGAATTTTATAAGTAATATTTTATTCAATGTACTAAAATAAACTTTATTGCAACCAGAGTCGAAATTTAGCCCACTGCCTCTCCTTCAAATAAAACCGCGTTTCTCGATTCACTTTATTTCCAGACGGTACTTAAAAGTACTCGTAAAGCAAAGTATCCGTGTGCGAAAAAATTTCTTATCCCTTAAAGTTATTTTTGATTCTTAGGAAATAAATGAGAAATTTAGCTTAATTATATTTTTAATTGTTATGTTAATCAATTCCGAGAGCCTTACAAGCATTTCGAACAGCTAAGTATTCGTGTCTTTTTACTAGAATTTTTACTTTTTATTCCATTTTGCATGAAATTTTACCTTTAAAAATATGAAAAAAATCCATGCAATGAATTCTTTGGCATAAATTGGCTTAATGTTAAATTATAAAAAGGGTCCCATACTTACTTTATTATTTTCTCGGAAAAAAACGAACTTTTGGCCAAAACTCGCACCCGCTGTCAGAGTTTGCGTTGGTTAGGTCAATAAATTTTAATTAGAAGGTAAAATAAAACTAATTAACAAGCTCGGTGCATTTGCGGGTTGATTAGCATAATTAAATGGAATTGCATGAGGCGTGCCGCAGGGCGTTTGAATCAAATCAGACCGATTCGAATGGATTCCAATTAATTGATTTGGCCTGCCATCACGCAGCAGGTTAGCACACAGTACAAATAATTGATTTGTCGCATTTCGGGCGATATCTTGCTGATGCCGCAAGTGGGGTTTTGCCATATTTCTTGGGGACTGCCTCCGATTTGCCAGCTGTGTGTTCTTTTGTTGTCGTTGCCCGAGAGCAGGAAAAAACATTTTCCCCCGCACAATGCGATTCCGTTACAGTTTTCCATTCGCCTCTTTCCACGGGGCGTATGAGTGTTTGTTTGCGTTCGACTTTTTGTCGCTTTCCTTTGTGCCGGCAGGCGAATGCCACGGAAGTTGTCATGTTGCATTGTTGCAGCTGCTGTTGATGCCGCTGCCATTGTTATTGTGCGAGGCTGTAAGCGATGGGGGGCTGCAAGAAAAGGCGAGCGTGCCACGCCCACACACTTGACTGGCCCGCTCTGCCACCTCTCGGCTTTCGATTGTCAGCTCAACTTCACGCCGCCGAGGGGCGTGGCACATTAGTGGCAACAGCACGGCACTACAAAAAAAGAAATACAACACAAAAATACAAAAAAAAAAAAAAAAAAAAAAAACAGAAGAACCAACGAATACATGATTGTCAACACGCACACAACCCCACCGACGGGCAGCAACAACAGGGCGTATGAGTAATATGTCTGCCTGACTCGCTGGCGGTGCCTGCACCATGTCAACATGCAAAACAACAATGGGGCGGAAGTGCATTGTAAACGGAGTGTGCACTGCACCCCAACCAGGCCCAAATACCGCCAGAATTTCCCACCTACGCACGGGTGAGTGCAATTATAATTTTGTAAAGCGACGGAAGTTCGGATAAACATACGCAAAACGTTAGCGCGCTGGCTGAAAAGACTGAAAAAGGTGAAACATGCTTATCCCCCAGGCCGATGCATTTTTGGGTTGATGGTGAGAAAACGAAACAAAATGAATAAGGGAACTCATTTGCAAAATACCCGTATGTACATTGACGTAAATTAAGTACAAATTATATTGAGAAGCTGGAGAAACATCGATAACTACGCTTTGTTCATCTCTTTATTCAACATACAACATTTTTGATACATTTACATTTCTGTCATTTTATAATTAATTCTAATCGGACTATCTTTTCTGTTTCTATATAAAACCGGACACTCTCGGTATGATTCGTTACTACTTTCTTAGCAGTTGCTTTGAAGCAGTTGCTTTGAAGCTTTTAAATCAATTATTATATCATAGTCGTTTAATAGATTTTAATATATATATGTCAAAAAACTCCTGTTGTATTGATTGAAGAACTGCAATATCGATTCATTGATGCATTCACCTTACAAGTCGGTTTCGGTTTACTCTTTTAAATTTGCGAACATTTACAAAAATAGGTGCATTTTAAAATATAAGCTAGGCACAATCTTAACAAATCCAGACTGATAATGAAAATTTATTTTTTTTAATACAAATAAATTGAAAATTTGCAAACCAGTTTTATCACCATTTTTAAAATACTTGCAGCATCCAGAAGATAAATGTTCTTTTCATATTTTTTTGGTGTCTCCTATCAACAGCAGTTGCTGCTTAAAGTTGGCACTCCACCCCCTGTGCAAAAAGCAATCTAATCACACCCCCAACCCCTGGCACACATGCCAGAAATTAAATTCGACGAGCAAACTTACACTGCGCTGCATACTTCAGCAACTGCCAATAAAGTGCTTGCCGTGAAGCAGCCAAAACAAAAAAAAACGACGAAAAGCGAGGAAAACTTATACTACTTTTCCCCTGCCCTCAGCTTATGCCGCGCTACAGTTTCTGTTGCTTCGAGTGCGCTTATCAAAAGACACACAAGGCACTGACATGCATCCAAAAAAAAATTGAAGGGACCAGGGAATGGAATGGAAAAGCAAAGGACGGGCTGGGAAACGCAAGGAAAGGAAAGGAAAGGCGACGAAGCGAAGCGCGTAAGTTTTCCAGTTTTTCTGCAGCGTCTTTGCGTTGGGAGAAAGCGGGGCAGGACTCTTTGCAAGTTCTGCATATGACTGCAGGCACGTTCTCAAAACCCCGCACACAATCCCCAACCTCCACGTAAGTGATGGGTGTAGGTGTGCGAGTGTAAGTTGATTTATGCCACTTTGTATACTCAGCATGCGTATGGGTTTCCCTGCACAGAGAAATGTATTTCAAAGTTGTGAGATATGGTCAGGATATGGAAGAAAAATGAGAGAAAAAGCTTTAGAAACAAAACTATTCTTACATGAATCTGAGACAATTAAATATGAATAGATCTTTATTAAATATTTTATGCACAAAATAATTTGCACTATCCAACTTAAAAATTAAACTACATTCGATTTTCTTTAATTAATTATTGGTTTAGTTTACTATAGTTATCAATATGCAATTTAAATCGGGAAAAACTGGTTTATCAACTTGAAAGCATTTACTTTAAGTAAGTATAAATTTCTCTAGCAAGCATTCAGTTCAAGTTCAACAATGTTCAGCAACGGACCTGTAATTTTTGCGTCTCTGATCTTGGCTTTGATCGGCCAAGCTAAGGTTGTAAAATCAAGAAAAGAAACCTTTCGCGTTATAAGAAAAACCCTTACAGGCTGGACATCCCTTTGACTTTTTTGAAGAAACCCTTGACGATTTCGAAGATTGTCTGAAAATTAATAATATTTCCATTGAGGCATACGAAAAGTTTGAGGAGTTCGATAATTTGGAGAATGTTCTCAGTGAAAATGTCGAATTGAAGTACAAGTGCAACATTAAATGTCAGCTGGAAAGGCAGCCAACTAAATGGCTGAATGAACTGGGCACAATTGATCTGAAATCGATGAATGCCCTTAAAGAAGCAGCGGAGTACATCACAAAGTGCATGGACAATGCCCCCGATGAGCCTTGTGCCTACGCATACAAACTAGTTATTTGTTCTTTCAAGTCCGGTCACACCGACTTTGCGATCGAATATAAGGACGATATATCAGAGGTAACCACCGATCTAGCTGCAGAACAACAGGCGGAACTAGACGAAAGCGATTTCATCGATGTCTAACAATAATAACAATGAAAATAATTAAAAGTTAAAATAAAACAGTTAACAAGCTCGGTGCATTTGCGGGTTGATTATCGTAGCAAAATAAAATTGCATGATATTTTATTACAGCTTTTCGCTCAGTGCATTGACTGTCTGCCTGTTCGTTGGCGTGTGTGTGAGGGGCTGCTGTATAAATGATTTATGGCCAACTCTCGCGACAGTTTCGTTTCGCTTTCGTTTGCAGAGAGTGCAACAAAGGAGCCGAAGAGACGCAGATAGCCAGAGTGGAAACTGTCGCATAATAAATAATTATAATTGTATTTCTCTTTCCGTCTTCCCGTTGGTTTTGCACGGCTCTTTGTCTTTTGGCCGCCACCTCGAAGGTGCCACACACATTAATAAACTTTGTAAATATTATATTTAAGTTGGGTGCAAGGTGAGACAGTGAAGTGGAAGTCCAGGTAATTGAAACCGCCGCAGCTGTTGGTCAGGTGTTTTCCGAGTCCGGACAACTGATAATGGGTCAATTGAGAAGGCATTTGGGAGGAGCCTGCCGCAGGATCAACTATTTTTTGGGAAGCTGACTCGTTACTCGGTTGTGGGTCAAAGGGACAACAGCAACAACAACAACAGCCCAGCATCCGGTAACTTCAAAGTTTGAGCTTCCTGCTTAGCCACCCAAAAATCTTTGCTTCCTTCGTTGGCCTTTTTCTGTATTGTCATGAAAGCGAAATGCGCTCACAGGAAACGGGAAGTGCGCCTCATGCAACATTTATGGAGGGTCCACACTCCAGGCCTCGAAAAGGACGAGCGGACGAAAAACTAACAATGGCTCGCCCCGAAACAAAAAGATACACCAGAGATGTTGACGCGTAAAAATTGTCACAAAGTGTAAATAGAAAATGAATTGAAATGCCTAGTACAGATTTAATTAAATTTCTGGCCGGTCGTGGCAAACAAAGGCTGGCCAAAAACTGCCCACAAATACTCAACACATACGTATGCATTCTACATTCTCAAATAAAAATATATGCGTGTAAGCACTTTTGTTAGCCTGGCATAAATATTTGAAAAATCTTCGCACATAAATAATTTGGTTTAAATCGCATACATAATTTGCAATAGGAAAATCAGTAAATATTTCAATATCACCAGCTATGACTGTGCCAATCAACAAACAACTTTGAATGATTTCAAGTTGGTCAGCTACAAACGAATTTCTTTTGCCAATCGATGTTTGAATTTCCTTCCATTGAATGTTGATGGAAAATGATTTTGTTATTTGTTAAACTTGATTTATGGAGTATTAAATTCTTGTATCTCTGTTGGCAAACGAAACTGAAAGTCAGCAGGCAAGGCATATGCAGTGAAATATAAAATAAATATTTCGAGAATGCCAAATCGTATTTGAGAAAATGGAATAGCTTGTGTGCATGGGTTTGCTTGTTGATATAAATTGTATATTTTTGGCATATTAAATTCAATTTATAGATACGCTATAGCTTAAACAGCTTGTGTTGTTACAAAGCCTAGTGAGTTATTTAAAGATACAATAACAAGAATATGAATTACTTACGCTATTAAGCATTTGTGATCATCTAACTTAAATATTTCTTTGACTGAAGCCCAATAAATTGAGCAATCTGTTTCTATGAATTCAATATGATTACGGACTCGCCGCTCGCATGGAATACTTAATAAAAACCAATAAACGTTAAAAGCCTTTTCAGTGGGCCGTGGCCATAAGCCACCTGCCAAACCAGGTCGACCAAACCCAGCTGACCACGATCCTCGGCCATCGCCGTCCGCTCCCCTCCCGATGTTCCTGTTCCTGTTCCCCTCTGAGGCTGGCCATGCGCCCGATTAAATGCATTTAAATGTGTTTTCATCATAATTATGCATATGCAAACATGACTCGGCCAGTGGCCACTCTATCGCCACCATCCTCCCGGACTCCGAACTTCGCCTGGCTGACGGCCTATAGCCACGGCCATATGCCATGTCCTGCGTTTTCCGGCAGCTTAAGTGCTTTAATGGCTTTAATTATGTTGCATGCAATTATTGTCCATGTCCCGGCAAGAATGATCTTCATCATCGGCTTAATAATGATGCCGATGCTGTTCGGAAGCTACTGGCTACTGGCCACGGCCACACAAATGCAGCAAAAATTATATAATTAATATATGAAAAGCAAAATGTATGATTTCCCCCTTTCATCTGATATACGCACATGTATGAAGGGGAAAAGCAGCTGCTGCGCTTTGCTTTTGAGCATAAAACTCAATCGCTAAATTATGCAAATAATCCGCAACTGCGACAATCGGCTGGCGTACGTTACGTATACGCAATGCTGGACGGATGAGGCCTCGAATTGTGTGCATGTGTGTATGTGTGTGTGTGTGTGTGTGTGTGTGGTTGTTTGCATGCGTAAAGAGGTCGCCGAGTTCATCGATGACGATTTTACTGCAATTCCGCTCCCGTCACCCGGTTTTTGGCGCAGATGCAAGAAAAGCACACAAAACCAACGGGATGAGGTGTGCATATATATAGAAGTAGAATGCCAGAAGAGGCCAACACAACAACAACGGCAACAAAAAAGTTTGGTGTTTCTGGGTCTTTCCTTTTGCCGATTTTCATACCCGTTACTCGTGGGGTATTATCTTTCTTATATCAGTAGATTTCCCTAACTAATATATTGTAAAGTCCGTTCAGATTCGTTCTTCGTAGAAGTATTCATTCACACATATAACTGTGCAAATTGATAAGTCCTTTACATAAAATTTGAATGACTTACATGAATGTAACTACTTAAACACATACAATTGTGAAAAGAATCGGGGTTGCTTTTACTAAAAATGGTGCCTAAGAGTATGCAACAAAATATTGACAATCCAAAAGTCCGTGTGGCTCAGTTTAAAAACCGAAGTTCTTTTTTCATTGGATACTTTTAGAAATTTAAGCCCTAGTTAAGATATGAGTATTATTTTTAGGGATAGTACAGGGTATTTTATAGTCAAGACATTCTAGTATAGCTTTCTCTTCCGATACTTTTCCCCATTTTTGGGGACCTCTCTGGTTCGCTTAGCCGTCAGTTTTTGGGGTCGCACAGCAATTTTATTTCGGCGACGTGACAAACGCAATCAGCGTCAGTCATATGTGTAAAAATGTTTTCCGCTTTATGCGTATGTCTCCGCTTTGCATGGAAATTGCAAAGCCAAAAACGTGGCCTGAAGTACGAAGTTGGAGGTGGAATTTCAACTTTGGTCGAACAGAATGTCTTTAACTTTTGGCACCTTGTCTAGCTCGATTCGGTGTCCCTCATTAGCTTTTCCATTCATCCAAAACCTAATTTGCAGCATGCCAACCTAACAAAAATCACTTTGCTCCCTGCCTCCTTTTGCCACTGAATTGGGCACGCAGAAACTACTTTCAAGTCCTGGCTTGCTGGACTGCCGCCTGCCGTTTGGCCGCAGGAGTCGCACATTGAGTTAATTAAAGTTGTACATGGTAGGCGCAATCAGGATGAGAACAAAAAACACATGTGACCCTATCTGTGTAAGTCTGCGATTGTGTAAGTGTGCCAGTGTGTGTGTGTGCCAGTGTGTGTGAGCGTGTGTGGGCAAGGGAAAAGGCCAAAACAAATTGCCAAAGTCAGAGCAGCAGCAGTAACGTTGAACTTTTTTTTGAGGGCTGAGAGCAAATGGCAATTTATAAAATCCTTTGAAGTGTCGAAAATCAGTAATTGTAGTCAAAGTGCAAATTGATTGCCAGTCTCTCTCCCACACACATACATTTCCCTTCGTTCTCTTGTGCACTCGGTTCGTGCCGAAAAATCAGTGTGGCAGACATGTTTTATTGAGTGTAATTTGTAGTTGCAAATTAATGGCCCCACTTCACTTTTAATTAAAATGCATCAAGAAGAGAACTAGAACAAGGAAACCAAGGGACAACATAAAGAACCACTTGATTGGATGCCCTTAAACTAAATTTGCAATCATATGTAAGCTTTAACTATGCTAATACAAAATCAAAAGCAATTTTGTTCGGAACTTCCTTCAAATATATGACTTTTGAATGAATATTTATTTATTCAAGATGTAGATTAAATATTAAGCCACAATATTTTATACAATGCATATTAAATTCCATGATTTAGCATTAAAATATTTTAATTAATGTGTAAAATATTAGATTTAGTTCCGTTATGAATTAAATGCATTTAATTTAAGTTAAACATGGCTTAAATTAAAATAACATTTCCAGATATTAAAATCAATTCCGAAAATAATCAAATGAAAATTTTAAAAATGTAATATTTTCATATGAAAAATAAATCTAAAGCAAAAAATATTTAATTGGACTTACTACGTTTTTTAACCGAGTAGTTTTAAAACATTTCAATTCAAAAATTATAGAAGCAACAACTGGACAGCATAGTTCTTATACCTCTTACTTGTATAGAACAAGTTCGTCAAGAAGCTCGACTATATTCTTGTTTCAGGTCGTTTTAATAAAAGTCAAGATGGTAAGTCGACCATCATAGAAACAAACAAACATCTCAGAATTCGAAATGTGACAATTTAAAAATTTAGTTAGCAACTGTAAGTGTTTTTGGCCAAAACTAAAATGTAATTATTTTTTTAATAGTTTCCATGTTAAAGTATGCCAATTCCAAGCGAAGAATTTAATTTCCTGTCATCATTTGTGGTTAACTTTGCTTTTACTCAATTTGGAAAGTTCACGTTTATCGACTCTGACATATGACTGGAAAAAAATTCATTTGCTCTTCAGTTAGAAGACTTTCCGTTCAGTATATGTATGTAACGCAGTACTTTCAAGAGGGCCTGTCTGTTAATCCAGACCACGTCAATTTGCCTCCGTCAGCTCCTTTGACGCCTGTTGCACGGAGGGGCCGTTAAAGGATGCAACTGCGTCGAAGTTTTGAATAAATTTTCGCCATTTTCCGGCGGCAACAGCGGGAACAACAAGGCAGCTCGATTGTGCTCTTCTCGACGCCGCAAGGACGCGAACGAGGACATCGAGGCATCATCAATTTTGGTTTGCGAGACTCATCAATAAAACATAACAGAAGCAAATGGAGACACATGTGACAATGCACATGCAAGCATCCGAAGGGATATGGATACTGATGCGTCCAGGACCCAACTTCTGATTCCCTCCGCAGCTGCTGCAAGTGCTCAGATAAAAGCGTTGCCCACTAGATTGGCCAATAAGTTTTTTCTTTCTCCCAAAAAAATGGTGCAGTGGTATTTAACAGTTCTCTGAACGATTTGGAATGGGTAGAAGTTTAGTTATTGCCAAAAACATGGCGAATACTTTAAGGGAACCATTTTCTTGCCTTAAACTGGCTGGCAAATCTTTTTTTACCTTTCTCATTATTTGCCAAATCTGGCTTTACGTATGACCCCATCCAAGGGCTTTGATTCGACTAAGTTCATCCACAAAACTTGTATGCGAACACATATATTTTTACTTTTGGCAACGACAAATGTTTTTCCTAGCGAACCCAACTAAAATAAAAGAAAACGGTTTAATGATTTTACCTGAGAAAAACACACTGGGTACTTAGTTCACATTTAAGGCTAATGCAAATTTACTCTATACAAATTATAAAATTGCTTGCATACAGTTCAGTTATAAGTTTTCTTTGGCTTTAGGTAATTTAATTTTTTTTTTTTAATTTAGAAGCTTACTGGTTATTTTAACGAAATCGAAAAATTTAAATTAAATAAACTTTAAACTGTTGTAAAAGCAAACTTCTTAGCTAGTAATCACTATAACATTTTAACTACTTTGCTTTTGTGTTTTAGTTGGTCATGTGCTTTTCTTTTTAAGACACCTTATAGAATTTTAGGTTGGAAGATTTCCCCGCCACCCTAAAACAATTTTTGTCCCCATTGCAGAACGTAGTATGCCTTTACAAAACACGACCAATGGGTATAATAAAAAAAAGCTTGGCAAGGAAAAGGAATGATCTTGTCAACACCCTCAGGTCGACCCAACCAGCTTGTCCTCGTTACGGCGGCGTTGGCTTTTGGCCAGCGAACGCTCGACTATAAGCAGTTGAATTGAAACTTTATTTCTGCCAAAGCACTTCAGCTTAGTCCATGATAATGTTGACAATGGGAATGTGCATCAGTTTAACCACGAATCCAATGACACCCATGATGAGAAATCCCACGCCGATGGCCGCGCTGATGCGCAGGAACTCCTGGCGGTCTGGTTTAGTGCAGCGCTTGTAGAATCGCATGGAGTCCTTATAGAAACTAGCGGACGGAAGGACCTGACGCAGTTTACTCTTGACCTGGCGACGCACACTCTCCAGGGACTTGCATTTCAGATTGGGCAAGAATTGGGCGAGCCCGCTAAAGATTTCAGAGATGAGATAGTAGTTGAAACCTTACTCAATGATTAATGTATCTACCTCTTGTCACTCTTTGGCCTGTATTTGCGACGACGCGAGAGGCGTTGCTCCATCTCCAGAATCTTAAAATGGATACTTCTAGGTTAGCTCAAACAAAACTTATTTGTATGTAAGCATCTAAGCGTTGAACTAATTCCACAGGCCTGTTCAGATCGACATGAAACTCGGTCCCAATAATTTCCAGCTGTTGTTCCGAACATGGACGCCTTCAGCATTGGCACATGCAAAGTGTGGCACAACTTGAAATGGAAAATACTGGCCGGTTTACACACATAATCAAACTTTACGCAAACTGTTTGCCAGCCCCGGACACACAAGACCGAACATTTTCGACTAGTTTTGCCACTCCTGCTGCACAGAATTGGTGAAGAGCAAATGGGGGGAGGAGGGGAAACTTAAATGCTGCAATTTGTTTCACTGCCGAATCGTTGCTGTCTTCACTTGAAGCTTAACTAAATGCACAGGGAGCCAGTCCGAAAATTCTCCAGCTCCAATTCTAAGCCGAAAACGTTCCCCTCTTCTACGCCCACTCCCATTTCCCCTGCATCCATCTCTATCCATCTCGGTGCGTGGAGAGGTGGCTGTTGTTGCTACGATTTGACAGCCTTGGCTTCAGAGATTCCCAGGACAATTCACTGCAAAATTGGTAGACAAAACTGTGCCACCACGGGCTCCTCTTCTACTCCACCATGTATATCATTACACTGCCGAAAATGTCATGTTTTTGTGAATATCATCAATAACTTTAAGGCTTTGTTATCTCAAAAATTATTTCTGTGACCATATTAATTTAATTGGTATATATTTGAATCGACTTTAAGAGGCGGGCATTTTTTATTTGGTAACGCTAAATAAAAATATAAAATTTAAAAATTAATTTATTGTTATATTGCGTATTATGATTCTGACAAAAATTAGAAAAACCTCTGATAGATTTTAAGTTTAAGACTTAAACTTGTATCATGGCTGTTTTGCTAAAAAATGTTTTGCCTATTTTATCTCAAATTTGTATTTAAATCCTTAAGGAAGTAATTAGAGCAACTTATATGAAAACTCAGCATATCTAAAAAAGCCTTAGGCAATTTATAAATATTTATAAAATTTAAAATCGCATCTTTATTGAAATTGTTGCAGGAAATATTCCAAAAAAATTGTTTTGTTGGGTGCTGCAGAATTTACTTGCGGCTTAGAATAATTTAAAAAAAGTATATTTGCATATATACACTATAATACATATTTTTAATGTAATGAAGTCGAATATATTCATAAAGTTACCATTTTTCATTGAAAATTCTTTCCTAAACTCTAAAGCAACCCTTGCTATTTCAACTACCTAAAATAAAACTCAAGGGGGCAAGTATTTTTCTCTGTGCAATCATACGGATACGAACGTGGCAGTCCCATAGCCTGTGTGCCAGTGTTTGTGGATATTTATGATGGTGTGCGTGCTTGCCGTTTCAGGCATTGCCATTGAGATTGAAAAATGTTAAAAAATTGCTTTTAAATGCCGCAAAATACAATTTATTATTCAACAGAGGCAAACGCCAAACACTGAGCACAATGTGCGCCCAGGGAGTGGGCGTGGAGCGCCCCATTGTAGGGATTGTATGGGGGAATTGGTGGGTCAGAGAACGGGGCGTGACCAGTGTGCGTAGGAAAGCTTAACAGTGCCCACTGCTTGGTTGTAAATTTAAATAAAGCCCACTTACACAAACACAGGCACACACAAGGAGCGATTGTTACTGCAGTTGTTTTGTTTATTACGCATACGCACTGTGCGCCGGCCATGGAAGTTGGCCATGAAGCGCAACGAGGCTTGCGGACTTAACTGGATCCGCTGCCCCAGCTGTAAGCAGCACTTAAAGCCGTCCTTTAAGAGCTGCGATATCGAACCTTACAATGTTTTCTCCCATTCCACAAGGAAACTATAAATTCGTCTCATTTTATTTGTAATCCAAGAACAGTTAACACACTTTTGTGTAGCACTAATTGTGGATCAGAGCGGCATCTTGGTTGGCAACTTTTTTTTTTTTTTTTTTTTTTGTTTGCGGTGGCACTTGAACAATTTTCCATGTGCTCCAAAAACTTTGGCAATAAAATTTGTTTCAAATTGCTTTCGAAAAGCCGCTCGAAAGGGACAGCGAGGGTGGGGAAAGGGAATGGGATTGGAGCCTGGTGGCAGCACATCCGGCATAGTCTCGCCCCATAGAGGCAAAGTTGTCAGCGGGCGAGTGACCAAAGTGCACCCAGAGGGCCAAAATAAATATCAAATATATTGAGAGGGCGAGGCAGTCGCGCAAAAGTTAATTACATTGTGTTAACCAGGGGGGAGGTTGGGCCAAGGCCTAATTTTGTAATTCTCTTTCTGAATCATTTAACCATGAAATTGCCTGCCCTGCCACGCCCACCGCCTCTGCCCCTTTCTCCGGGCGGACCAACCGAATGATGATAACCCACAACGCATTTACTCCTCATGGATGTCAGTCCAAATGTGCAAAATTAGCCTTTCAACTGCCAGTGCCACGCCCCCTTATCATCACCATTCCATCGGGACGCCTTCAGAGCTCCTTTTCCCCTCCGCCCCCCTTCTCCCTTTACAAATCCATTTCAATTGGCCCCGGGGCAACCACCATGTTGACAGCTGGCACGCAATTTATAATGAAAAGTTTCCACTCGCACCCGCAGTCGCACAATTCGAAAGCGGCGGGGCTCACCTACCTATTCCGATGCCTTCATTATTTGTGTTTATTTTGTATACTTTATAAATCATGTTCTGCACAGATATTAATGCAATTAGAAGAATCGGGAGAAGCCTTTTTGCATTCAAGTCGAGACTTGAGGAAAGGGTCCGGTGGCCTGATTAAGTTTCAGTGTCTTTTGATGTATAAGCTGCTTATGCCTGGCGGCAGTTGCTGGAATTCTGTGGCCAAATGGCACGACGAAAGAAATTAATTAAATTTGAACAGCTCTTAATCAAACAGTTGGTTGTAATAAATTGCTGAAAATTCTTGAGCTCTGAAACCCAGCTTAAACTTAAACCATCTTGCATCTTGCATCAGACAACATATCAAATCGATGGCATTTTGTGGCCCAGGCCAAGTTGAAAACCTATCACAGATAGAAACCAACATAAAGATATAAAACCTGCGCAATGATTGCCAAAAACGGAACGGCCACAGCCATTACCAATTTTTGTGCTTAACGCTTCAGCGAGCAAATCACTGGCACAGACAGATAGAAATGGCACATATACAGCCATACGGATGCAGATACATTTACAGTGACAGACACAGATACAGCTACAGCTACAGATACAGATACAGATACAGAGTTAGAGGCAAAGTCATAGTTTTAGTTCCGTTTGCCGTCCCTCTACTTATTCCATCAGCATGTCATCATGGCAAATCAGAGGACATGCAACATTGCATAAAGATTTGTCACAGCTCAGGCCCCAGTTTTCCACCCGGGAAAAATAGCAGGCAGCTAGCTACAGGCAACAACAACAAGCGATGGAAAACTTTTGCAGGCCAGGAAACTTCAGGGGGAGCGGTTTAAATCGCATTTTCGCATGCTCAAACAGGACAAACTGTGCAGCAAGACAAGAACTGGAGAACTGGAAAACTGAAGACCCGGATGTGGATGCGGATGGGGATGGGGATGCGGATAGGGATGCGGATGCGGATGCCGAATCCTGAGCAACTTGCTGCAAATTCAATTTCGTCTAGCTCGATTGCATTGCGGCACATTGCTCGAAATTCAACTCCAACTACGGCTCAAACTGCGATTTCAGCTTCAGCTTCCCATCGATTCGCATTGCATTTCAATATATAAATATTTATACACAAGCGAATTTGTGCACAGCTGAGCGCCGCGCCGTCCATGTCACCCTACACTGCGCGATACGTATACGTGATAAGGGGGCATGGTCCCAGGGCAATCGTGGTATATTTTTCACAGTGCAAGTGCTGCTAAAATGAAGATATATGAAGCTGCTGCCCGGAAGAGTAATGGTCATGTTGTCCCGCCGATGTACTCTGTAGTACTATACATTGCTGCATCTGCTGTTCGAGCTTCCCGGAATCGTTTAGTTTCGCATTGGGCGTCGCCCTCTTGGGCCCTGCCTAATTCCCTTTATTACAACGAATTCTGTACCGACATTTGATGGCTGCCTTTCGCCGTATAAATCATGGCTAAGCCCTTATGACATATGCTAAAATTTAATTCCCCACCAGCGGCAACCTTTTTGCCGCCGTTTTTGTTTAGCCAACGCGTGACAAAATGATTTGCTAGCCACGGCTCCAGCCCGCTCCTTTTGGCCATTGTTCGGGCCATGACAGTGCAAAATTGGTGATGATGTTAACGATGCGATTAGATGAGTGGATATTTTCGAAGCGGCGCCTCGTGTGTGTGTGTGTGTGTGATGTGCGAAGATTCAACCTGTGGCAGTCGCTCAAAGTGGCAAAGTGTTACGGCCAACTTTTCGGAAATTTGAATATTTAATGGGGATAATTTGTGACCGATTTTGAAAGCCATTAGCGAGTTGCGAAAAGTCTGAATAATGTGTACGCTTCAAAAGTTTATATCAAAGATTAACCCACATCAAGTGCCATTAAATCAACCCCAAAAACGGTCTCGAATTCAATTTGATATCGGTTTTAGCCAACTTTATTTCCGGCTAAGCCGCATGTGCACTACACTGAAGTGCAATTTGCGGTGCACTTAACCGTTTCATATGCTAATTATGGGCTATAAATTTGCTATCTAGCTTGCTGGCTGGCCGTAAATCGTTCAGCCTGCTGCGACTTTATGTGAGGCTCGTAAAAAAGCCAAGACAATTCCGGCAAAGCGAACTGGCTCCTTATTTCGAAACTTTTTCCAGGTGCTGCCCCTCCCCACAGACCAAAACTATATAGACAGACAATTTCCTTATGAAATGAAAATAAACATGACATTTCTGGGTTTATGTACTTTTGCAGCTGTGTCTTTGCCGTGCCTCCGGCTGCTGGTTTCTCCTAGGCCAGGCCAAAAGGCCCAAAACCACCAGCTCCTCGCCTTCTGCTAACATGGCTATGACTGCTATAAAATGTCATCTTTTATTATGGCAAAGGCTCAACTGGCGCAGACTGCGCC